CGCCGTTGTTTGGGCCGTCTGGCAATTGCAATTGTTGTAAAACATGAATAATGCATGCTCTAAAACTTTTATTAAAATGCACAAGACCACAGCCAAAAAAAACACAAGAAAAAACATCAAATGGGGCACAAAAACAATGTTGAAAGAAAAAACTTGAAACTTTATAGCTGACCAAAATTTGTGCTAACCAAAATGCAGTCAAAGCAATTGGCTGTGGCCGAGAATCTCCGTTTGTCCGGGCACATTTTTACACTGTTTCCATCGGGTGGCGGCAAGGCGCATTAGAATTCGCATGTGAAACATGCATACTTGATTGATTAACCGTTTGATTGATGATTAAAGCAGGGCTAACGAGTATTTTATGGCTTTTTGAACACTTATATGGGGATTTAGTGCTGATATACCAAATGATTGAGTGACTGAGTGATTGATTGACCGACTGATTGACGATTAAAGCACAGATAAGAACTGTTACGGATAGGGTGCATGAGCTTACACCTTTGCAAACACTTATATAGGGAATTTGTGTCTGCTGAGTGATTGATTGGTTGAGTCACTGAGTGATTGATTGACAATTAATGCACTGCGAAAATATAGGTTATAGTTAGGGTGTTGAATGTTTGACACCACATTCAAAACTAGTATTAGGATAATGCTGACCTACTGATTGATTGTGTGACATAATGATTGATTGACTGTTTGATTGATGCTGGCCGCAAAGCCGAAGCTGATTGATTGACTGCTTGATGTTCACATTAATTACCTTTTACAACACTAAAATAGGTTTTCCAAATAGGCTGGAAAATAGGTGGATAACGATTGAATGCAACTTTTTGCCTCCCAAGCGATCAGCTTTATACAAATTTTTAAAGTACTTTGTGAAAACTCTTTGTCTGATGCGGAAAATCACGCTGATCTTTCAATCGCTTTCTTAATAAGATATATGGAGACACCAAATACTTTTGTATTGAAATAAATAAAAAATTCGAGTGTTGTTAGGCTTCGCACCTTGCTGCCGAGCAGTGGAAACAACTTGATGCTGTTTGCTTTAGCGGGCACTCTTTCTCCCTCCTCCCCTTTCTCACCCTTTCTTTCTCCCTCTCCCTTTCTCTCTCTCTCTCTTTCTCCCCCTCTCTCTCCCTCTCTCCCTTTTTCTTGTGCTTTGCCCTGACTATTTTCCCTTTTCTGTTCAATAAACTGTAATTCGTGCCACTTGCATGTGCTTGGCTGTGAGTGTGTGTGTGTGTGTGTGTGTGTGTGTGTGTGTGTGTGTGTGTGTGTGTGTGTGTCTGCATCCATTTGTCGCACGTACACACACACTCAATTGCACACGCACACTCGAGCAAATGTCTGGTTGCACACACATATTGTACTTGGCATACATGGCGTATGAGTGACATTTAATTAAAATTTATGTAGTCTAAAAGGCAAAAAGAAAAAAGAAGAAGTCGATGTTGGGTGCGCACATCTTCTGCTCCTACTTTTTCGTTTCTTGCTGCAGTTGTTACAATTGTTGTTGCTGTTGTTGTTGTTGTTGTTGTTGTAGCTGCGCCTGTTCAAATTTATGCAGTGCTTCATTTTGTTTGAGTTTTATTAAACGCCGGTAGTTGTAACTCGCCTGAATCATGTAATCATGTGTAAATTTGTTTTTACACTATTACGGGCCACAGCGTACAGGTCGTCGCCAGTCCCCCTGCCGCCCTCAACACTTCATTCCCCTCTCCGACAACTCTTTTGCGTTTGCTTCTATTTTTTGGCCTGACTCTGGCAGACATTGTGGAATTCATTGTCAGCGCAGTGCAAATTTTCTAATATTTAAATGGGAAATTGTATGCTCAGGGCATAATTGCACTTTGCACTTTGCACTCAGCATGTCATTGTGTGTATGCATGTGTGTGTGTGTGCGAGTGCGAGTGTGTGTGTCAAGCAGATAACAAATGTGTAGCTGAATAATTAGAGATGTGTATTTAAACTTTTGGCTGTCTCACGGATTTTATCGGACTATCAAATAAGCTAGAAAAGCTGATCAAAGTTAGAAATCTACAACTTTTAAAGCTATTTGTATAAAATATATAAAAATGCGTTAGTTTCAAACTGACTGAAGGGGACTGAAGCTCATATTATCTTCTTATATGGAATCTTTCGTGACATTCCCAAATTACAAACGTGTAGAGATAGTTCTTGAGGGATATCCATGAAGAAAAAGCCAACTCTCAAAAAAATCGGATGAGATTTGGCCGAGCTATGCTAATGGGAAATTGGACCCATGTCTATATACGAATCTTGGCGTAAGATTTTGACATGAATTTCGACCAAAATTTGGTTCTCAGATTTAAATTCCAGATTAATTAAGAGGGAGATCCATGAAGAAAAAGCCAACTCTCATGTAAATCGGATGAGATTTGGCCGAGTTATGCTAATGGGAAATTGGGCCCATGTCTATATACGGATCTTAGGAGTAAGATTTTAACATGAATTTCGACAAAAAATTTCGTTGTCAGATTTAAATGCCTTATTAACTTAGAGGGAGATCCAAGCAGAAAAAGCCAACTCTCATGAAAATCGGATGAGATTTGGCCGAGTTATGCTAATGGGAAATTGGGCCCATGTCTATATACGGATCTTAGGAGTAAGATTTTAACATGAATTTCGACAAAAAATTTCGTTGTCAGATTTAAATGCCAGATTAAATAAGAGGGAAATCCATGAAGAAAAAGCCAACTCTCATGAAAATCGGATGAGATTTGGCCGAGTTATGCTAATGGGAAATTGGGCCCATGTCTATATACGAATCTTGGCGTAAGATTTTGACATGAAATTCGACCAAAACTTTCGTTGTCAGATTTAAATGCCAGATTAATTTAGAGGGAGATCCATGAAGAAAAAGCCAACTCTCATGAAAATCGGATGAGATTTGAACCAGTTATGCGAATGGGAAATTGGGCCCATGTCTATATACGGATCTTGGGAGTAAGATTTTGACATGAATTTCGACCAAAAATTTGGTTCTCAGACTTAACTGCCAGATTAATTTAGAGGGAGATCCATGAAGAAAAAGCCAACTCTCATGAAAATCGGATGAGATTTGGCCGAGTTATGCGAATGGGAAATTGTGCCCATGTTTATAAACGGATCTTAGGAGTTGGATTTTAATATGAATTTCGACCAAAAATTTCGTTGTCAGATTTAAATGCCAGATTAATTTAGAGGGAAAACTATGAAGAATAAGTCAACTCTCATGAAAATCGGATGAGATTTGGCCGAGTTATGCTAATGGGAAATTGGGCCCATGTCTATATACGGATCTTAGGAGTAAGATTTTAACATGAATTTCGACAAAAAATTTCGTTGTCAGATTTAAATGCCTTATTAATTTAGAGGGAGATCCAATAAGAAAAAGCCAACTCTCATGAAAATCTGATGAGATTTGGCCGAGTTATGCTAATGGGAAATTGGGCCCATGTCTATATACGGATCTTAGGAGTAAGATTTTAACATGAATTTCGACAAAAAATTTCGTTGTCAGATTTAAATGCCTTATTAATTTAGAGGGAGATCCATGAAGAAAAATCCAACTCTCATGAAAATCTGATGAGATTTGGCCGAGTTATGCTAATGGGAAATTGGGCCCATGTCTATATACGGATTTTAGGAGTAAGATTTTAACATGAATTTCGACAAAAAATTTCGTTGTCAGATTTAAATGCCTTATTAATTTAGAGGGAGATCCATGAAGAAAAATCCAACTCTTATGAAAATCGGATGAGATTTGGCCGAGTTATGCTAATGGGAAATTGGGCCCATGTCTATACACGGATCTTAGGAGTTGGATTTTAACATGAATTTCGACCAAAAATTTCGTTGTCAGATTTAAATACCAGATTAATTAAGAGGGAAAACTATGAAGAAAAAGTCAACTCTCATGAAAATCGGATGAGATTTGGCCGAGTTATGCGGATGGAAAATTGGGTTCATGTCTATAAACGGATCTTAGCAGTAAAATTTTGACATGAATTTCGACCAAAAATTTCGTTTTCAGATTTAAATGCCAGATTAAATAAGAGGGAAATCCATGAAGAAAAAGCCAACTCTCATGAAAATCGGATGAGATTTGGCCGAGTTATGCGAATGGGAAATTGGGACCATGTTTATACACGGATCTTAGGAGAGTTGATTTTGACATGAATTTCGACCAAAAATTTCGTTGTCAGATTTAAATGCCAGATTAAATAAGAGGGAAATCCATGAAGAAAAAGCCAACTCTCATGAAAATCGGATGAGATTTGGCCGAGTTATGCGAATGGGAAATTGGGACCATGTCTTTACACGGATCTTAGGAGTTGGATTTTAACATGAATTTCGACCAAAAATTTCGTTGTCAGATTTAAATGCCAGATTAATTTAGAGGGAAAACTATGAAGGAAAAGCCAACTCTCATGAAAATCGGATGAGATTTGGCCGAGTTATGCTAATGGGAAATTGGGCCCATGTCTATATACGGATCTTAGGAGTAAGATTTTAACATGAATTTCGACAAAAAATTTCGTTGTCAGATTTAAATGCCAGATTAAATAAGAGGGAAATCCATTAAGAAAAAGCCAACTCTCATGAAAATCGGATGAGATTTGGCCGAGTTATGCGAATGAGAAATTGGGCCCATGCCTATATACGGATCTTGGGAGTAAGATTTTGACATGAATTTCGAGCAAACATTTTGTTGTCAGATTTAAATGCCAGTTCAAATAAGAGGGAAATCCGTGAAGAAAAAGCAAACTCATGAAAATCAGATGAGATTTGGCCCAGTTATGCGAATGGAAAACTTGTAGGGAAATATTAAAAAAAGATTTTCTCTCATTTGTGGCCAAGGGAAAAAGAAGCTCGGCTGCAAACAGTGTGTTTTTTCTTTTAGCAGATGCTCCACGTTGAAGCGCGATGTAAACTTTAAATTCGTCCACAATCTTAAATTATACTTATTAGTTTCTTAAAATTTATTTCAGTTATAGATTTAGATCGATTGTATATATTAATATATCAGTTAGATATTTCTGCTGCACTTTGTCAATTGTTGTTGTGTTTTGCCCGGAAATATAAATATATTTCCGCGCTGTTTTTCCCCCTCTTAGGAAATGTTTGCCTTAAGCTTAAATTGTATTTTAATCTAAAGTATACGTTTTTATACAATTATATATAGAGTAGAAATTCGTTTCAACTGGCAATTTATCACTTTGGCTGTTTTTAGTACTTAGCTCCTCAACTGTAGCTCTCTCAGTTGCTTCTCTTCGATTCCTGTTTGAGGATCTTGCCCTGCTTCCTGGCCAGCAGCCAGGCCTGTAGTTGCATGCGTCGATAGTGCAGATGCCGTTGCAGGCTCTTCTTGAAGATTGTCTCCCTGGCGAGTATCTCTAGATCTTCAAAGCTACAGACTCGTATGTTCTGCTTCGTCCGCGCGATCAGCTCGCTGGTCAGCTGTATCTTTGTGGCGGAGGCGCGGGCCGAGTGCGCCTTGCGGCGCCGCAGCTCCTCGCGGTGCAAGTATAGCGCATATGCGGCTGTGGGCGTGGTCGAGCTGGTTGCAGCCACATTTTGCTGCTGCTGCTGTTGTTCTAGTTGCTGTGGATTGCACATCTTGGCTGCCGGAATGCTCAGTTGCGTTTGCTCTCGTCTGCACGGCGACGGCTCGCTTTTATGCCCGACAAATTGCGAAGTTTTTGACCTGCGCGCGGCCATTCATGAGCACAGGTCAACCTGAAGCACAGGCAAGCGACCGGCGCGCGCGCTCTCTTTTTTTTTTACGAGCCAATGCTCAATCATTGCATTTTTTATAGCCGCAGCGCGGCGAGTGGATTAAAAGAAAAAAAAACTCTAATCCCATTCATTACCTAAAAAGTGTCGTAAAGTCGACAACGGCTGGCCCGCAGGACTCTTGTTTTCACACGCTAATCCCGATGCATGCATAACGGGATTAGGCGAAACGAACTGTTTATGGGTCAAGTGACAGTCGGAGTAGCCGGGTCCGGCATGCGGCCCCGTGCACTATGTTGCATGCTACATGCGGCACGTTGCATATCATTTGCGCCTTGCTGAGCTAATCCTCAGCTCTGTTTGTTTTCCTCTTCACTTTTTTTTCTTCTCATTCGTTCTCTTTGCTCGGCCCGCTCGCAATTAGCATCATAATGAAGCGACAGCTGATGGCTTTTTAGTTTTTGGGAAATTCACGTGACCAGAGTTGCGGCCAGGGTTGTCACGGGTTGTCAGGCCAAATTGCCAGCTGACCCAAATTCGTAGCCAAATATTTGGCTTTAATCGCCTCGCTTGGCAACTTTTTAACGAATTTCAAGTTCGCTGAACGTGTGTAATTAACAAAACTATTTCGTTGATAACAAGATAGCGAGAGAGGGGAGGGGGTGGGGGAGGGAAAACCCCCAGCACCTCAATGTGTATACTCTGTTGGGAGTATATTAGGTTTTACTCTATGTTTTCTCTGTCTATGACGCAGGTAGATTCTGTGCCATAAAAAACTATGTGAGATAAACAAAATTAAGCTAAGCTCAACTAATCTCATGTTTAAATACCCTGCTTCCAAAAAGGAAATTAATTATCTTAATGAAAAGCTGATTACAATATCTAAAGAAATCTCATCGGATTAATCGGAATAACCCATTATAAATTTCTCTTAAAATATAGTAAATTCTTGTCGTTGTCTTTCGCTTCAGAGCTATATCAATATCCACAAAATCTTAAGTTAAATGGGCGAATGTTCAAATGACATATGATTACCTTCTGAATACCCTATAAAAAGTGTCTCCTAGAGTAAAGTATCTGATTCTCCTAGACTTTTGCTTCAGAGCTCTTCCAATATCCGAAAACTTCTCATTAGGCCAACCGGGCTGATGTTGTAAATCACATAAACGTATATCCGAATATCCTATAAAAATGTCTCTTATGTAAAGATTCTATACTTCAAATTTAAAGCAGAGTATTTCCTTGTCCTTAGCTTCCCATTCAAGAGATTTTTGGTATGCGCCTGCTTTCAATACATTTCCGAGTTTTCATCGCTTTTCGCTTGACTTTAAGCTTCAAGCACGCTGATGATAAAAGTCGTAAACTCATTAAATTGGCCATTTCCAGAGCTTGTATCGTCGCATTTTTCAATAAGCCTTCGTCCTGCGGGAAAGCTGCCCCAAAATAGGAAAACAAGGCCAAAGGCAGCTCCTTCGGCAGCGACGTGCTGCACATTTTGATGCCCTTCCAAATGGGTATTTATATATATTTAGCGGGAAATGTGACATGTTATTGGGAGATGTATTTTTGATCAGCTAATTAGATCTCGTCCATTGAGGCTTACTTAGTTTGAAGACCAGCTGAAAGAACTTCTGATATATATCAGACTATATGTCGGAGGTAATACGTACGTTACGTTTCACCTGGATAGGTAGACAATATAGCTTTTGCTTGGTAAACTTATCGTTATCAAGATATTTTTGCTTTGTTTAGAAGTTCAAGCGTAGGTCCAACAAGCAAAAGGACGCTGGTTCAACTCCAGCATCAAATTAAAATGTTGTTTATATAAATTGTTGTAGTTCATAAAGAACTCTTGATATCTGCGTCAACTTCAGCAAAAGTGTGCTACATGAAATTCCTTATATGAAAGTAAAGTCTCTTTGTCGTCGGACTGTTATAATTACAGCTAACATTTCATCAAAGTCAACCCAGATACAAAAGGTTGAAAATTTAATTCTTTAAAAACAACAATTCAATTTCTCAATAGATTCTCCTTCAGCTCACAATCTGTCTGCAAGGGTATTCAATGCTTCGGCAGCCTAAACAAGAAACTGTCCTTTCTTGTTATATTTCATTATGTAAAGGGGTTTTCTTCGTTCGGATATTCAGAGGGGGGCGCCGGTTCGTGCGCAATGTGCGAAAATCACAACATTTTAATCTTATAATCTGAATTTATGAGCAGACTCAATTTCGTTATGCTTAACGACATTTTATGCGGTTATTTTATGCAGGCAGCTAAAGCTAAACGAGATGAGGAATAAGGCGTTCTCTCTCTCACACACACACACACACACACACTGACACACACACACACATGCATGTACTCTGCGGTTTGTTAGCAGCAGCAGCTGCCAACTATAACAGCAACAACATGGCCAAAACGACGCAAGTTAAGTACATCAAATCGTTCGTGTGTGTGTGTGTGTCTCTGTGAAGAAGAAACGTGAGCTACTGTGTGTGTTTGCGTGTGTGTGTGTGTGTGTGTGTGTTCGTGTGTGTAAGTGGGTGCTTGAGATTTTGTATGGTCGCACAAAACACATTAGTTGAAAGTACTGACCAACAAAGCCACTAACAAGCTGTTGGTTGATTCCCCGCACACACAATATACACACATACCACACACACACCACACACACACTCAAGTATATACATCCCCCATTCACATACACACATACACACACCCCCAATACCGACTGCATTACATATTGAAGTGCCATTTTGTGTGTGAAAATATTTCGCTGCTCCCACCGTTATCCTCTTTGTTGTCGTTACTATACCCTACGAAAATGGAAAATGGGAATACACGTTTTGTGTAAGTGTATGTGACAGGCAGGGGCAGGCATCTAAGAGCCCATATTTCTTTTTGTATCTGTATTTATATCTATATCTATTGTCGAGGCGGTCTTTCCTCCAGTTCGATTGCTTTTTTTTTGGACTATGAGGTCAAGAGACTTTATATTGCTCAACCAATACCATATTCTCTTATATTATATTTAAAACTCGGCCCATTTTTGTTATTAAGATCAGATTTTAAGCAGCTGAGTTAATTAAGAACATATTTGTGAAAGTACAAGTCTGAGCAGAAGAAGAAGAACAACAAGCAGGTCTCTGTGTGTCTCACCGCAGCTTGCCGCTGCTTACAGGGTATCTCGTAGTCGATCAGCCAGCCCCTGCACTCGTTAATATTATTGTTGATGATGTCGACAACATTTTCGATGGAAACTTTTTTAATAAAATCATTTAAATAAATGAAAATTAATTTATTTGCCAGCGCACTTGCGCATAATTCTTTTGCTGTTTAATAAGAAACAATTTCAAGTTGCGAGTTTTTCCGTTTTTTCGTTTTTATCGTTTTTAACGTTTGTATCGTAAGTTGTGCGCAGAGAACAAACTTTTATTACCTTCGTATATCACACACGCAGCGAGAACAGGATGTGAGTTTTCTTAAGCCTAATACACATGGAAATGGGAAATGGAAAATGGGAAGCATACGAATTTCTACAGGAGTATTATATATGTTATATATGTTTGTAGGATATGGAAACAGTTCATGCGCTGAATTCGACTTAATAGTAAAATAATCTTATTTGGAAGTCGAGCAATTGCTTAGGACTAAAATTTACTTATGCTGGTAGATTCTACAAATTTGAATATTAAATAAAACTCATTTACAATTTGAAATGGGCAAAGAAAATATAAATTCGGTTTGAGCTGAAGACGCTAAGCGATCTTTTTTTGTAATTAACTATAGGATTATTTAACCTATAATATGAATGTAAATAAGACTTGATGAAAATATTCAATTTAATATTAAAATATAGTTTTTCTCTGATTGAGAACCGCTCTCTCAAAATTTGCCTAGATCTGAGAAGATCTTTATGCACCTTTAGAGAGTATTATAACTTAGTCAATAACTTCGCAACGCATACCCCTCAGATCTAATATTATTTCTATATGCTTGATTAGTCGAGTTGATATAGACATTGACAACTAGACTCTCATTTATAAAGCTATTTTTGCCTAATATGGCTGCTTTCCCTGTGAAAATTTGAATATTTTCCTTAAACCTTACACTTACAAAAATCATATATTTAGTAAAAGTTTAGTGCAAAATTTAACTATATTTTTTTTAAAAATTAATTTGATACATTTAAATTTCTGTTAAATTTTAGTTGAATCTCTTCTCTTTTGTCTTTTGTTTTTAATCCATAGCTAAACACCTTAGCCCTTATTGAATTGGGCTTAGCTGATTTAACCAAGTCCCTTCAAACTTAACCTTTTTTTAAGAAATCTAAGTTTGCAATTAAATATCTAGAATACTTTAGCTAAGAAAAGTTCTTGCTAGAACTTAAATAAAATATATAAAATATTTATGTAGGGGATATTATATAGTATATCAATCTCGTATTTCCGTCCAAGAATTGCTGCAATTATTAAAGCTCTGCTAAAAATTTAAATTATTCTTTCCATAAATATCTCGTTAGTCAAATTTTGATGATTTCTCAGAGAGCTTCCTCTTTTTTTTTTTTTGAAGTAAATATTTGCTTTAAATATACATAAGTATCCGTTGTATTATACATTTAATGTGCACTTGTTTTTTGTTGTTGTTGTATTTGACTCTTGCGCTGCGCCTTTAATCCACATAAATTGCGTTTGTTTCTTTTTGTGTTTGCCTTGTTTTCGACTTGTTGTGTTGCCTAAATATTTATGCTTTTATATATATATATATCTCTTTGTTTTTTGCTTCTCTTTTAACTTCTTCCTGCTGCTGCGGCTGTTGTCAATTGCGCGTTGTTGTCGCTCGTCTATTGACGCCATGGTAGCCATTCTGTTTTGCCGTCTTGCGGCCGGACTCCTTGCCGCCCTGGCTGCTGCTATTGCCACCGCTTGTGGCAGCGGCCAAATCGACATCCGTTTCCGCTACGATTGGCGGACCCCATGATACTTGTCGTCGCACAGTTGGCGCCCCAGACGACGTCCCTTTGCGTCGCTTTGTGCTCGGCTGCTGAAGTGTTGCCGCTCTTTGCAGCGGTTGTCTCTGCAGTTGTTGTAGCTGCTGTTGCCTTTGATTTTCATGTTTCTGCTGCTGTCAAAGTGCGGAGATGTTTGGCATTGCATTTTATGAAAAACTCTGACTTTCCTTTAAATATGCTTCGTGCTCTTAGTTTGTCTATATATAATAAAATGCGAGAAAAAAGACAAACGGCAAACATTTTGTTTCATATTGCGCGCGTGTGTTGCACATTCCTTAATTAGTTTTGTTGCGCGTTGCCATGGCTGTTGCATGCAACGTTTACTGTTAACAGCCAGTTGGCATTGCCTCATGCATAGTTTTTAATTAACATGCTGCACAATATGCTCGTGCTTCTATTCAACTGGCTGGCATTGTTATTGCCGGGCCAAGGCAGAGGAATCTCCCTCCCGAGCTCAAACCCCATTTTCCATACAGACTTGAGTCAAACGCAAAATTTTAACAAGGCCCTAATTGGAAATTGCAGCTGAGGCAAAAATGAAGTTAAATTAACTTTTGGTTCAATCTTATACAATACCAACACCAAATGGTTAAGAAGGGTATTATGGTTTTGTGTAAAGGTAACAGGCAGGAGAAGACAGCTCCAAAGAGTGCATGTTTTTATTGATTAGGAGAGGAGAGGGAAGAGCTGAGTCTTTGCCAGGCTTGTCGCCTATCTCTGAGACTTCAAGAACATCTTCTATACATGCGAACCCCTGGAGTCTATATACATTTTTGATCAAAACGAAGAGCTAAGTCTATATTTGTATAACCTATGTTTGAACAAGTCTTTCTCAGAGACTATAAAAACATCTCCTGTATCTCCGATCCCAAAGGGTGTATATATTATTGATTAGCAAGAGGAAGGAAGCTGGATTGATCTATGTTTGTATGTCGTAAGCTGAAACCCGTCGATCTCAGTTAATATAATAACATATCCTCTTTATAGCACGACAAGCTGTTGCTAATCTCAGACTCTATAAAATCTAATGTTTTATTCCTTGAACGTAGGTTCTCCCAGTGCTCTCACATATGTACACATATTTATTAATTATTTGTATGTACTGAAATTTTCATAAGTATTCCCATTAAGTGTGCCTCTACTGCCTGAAGGGCGCAACTTACTGTGATTGTGCTTGTGTGTGTGTTTCTCTTTTGAATATACTTATATATATCTAGAAGAAAGTCAGAATATTATCCACGGCAGCTTATCGCTGGGCTTAGGGTATCTTCTACCCGACTGCAGCCAATAATAAACGTATTCCTTTTATATCTTCTTGTAATAAATACTTTTTTGAAATCTCTTTGCCAAGTGTATTCAAATACTGCTGGCTTCTAGATATACCCTCTTACAAAAGCTATAGGGTATAGAAATATTTGCAGCAATTTTCCCATATATTTGCCTAGCAATTAGAAGCTGTCGATATCAAATAGCTTTCCCTCGATTCTCGACAAACGACATTTTGTTGACTTTGTTGGCCAGATTGCGCATACGCCGCGTTGTCAGCTTGTGTTTATTTTGTGTGTGTGTGTGTGTGTTTCGGTATGTGTCGAATTGTATGTGTGTGTGTGTTTATTAAACTAGGGGCTGTTGTTTTAATTTACACGTCATTAGCTGGACTTTTTGCCTTCATTAGATTTATAGAAAAGTTGAAAACGAACAAACCTACACACACACACACACCCACACACGCCCATAAAGTTGCTCTGTTATTTTTTAGTTGTTTATGTGTCTGCTTGAGGTTTTGTTTTTGCATTCTAAGCTCGTAATGAGTTTCACCGCAGCATTGCGGCAGCTGGCAAAGTTAAGTGCGTGCTGCGTTTGCGGCCAGGCCAAATGAACAGCAGCAGCAGCAGCAGCAAGAAATACAAGAAAATGCAAAGAAGCCGAGAGAGCCACAAAACATTCTGGCATCAAAAGAAACTAGGCAAGCATGCTAGCAGGAGCAGGCGCCAGCTGGAGGCGCACCCGCACACCAGGCTTCACTTGTGGCACTTGCACTTTTTTTGTGCTGGCTGCTTAAACAAAAGCCCAAAAACTAAACCCCCTCTCGACTCCACCCCTCCCTCGACCCCTGAAGACAGCTAAAGGCTGTAAGCGAAACTTTTTGATTTTGGGTGCAGGGTGGGCTCTTGTGTTGCGAAAAAAAAGAAACTTTCGGGTTGCGCTTCAATTTCGGTTGCCTTGCAATCAGGCAGGAAGAACGCCGCAAGTCAGGCGGAAACCGGTTGGGCGGTTGGGAGTTGGGAGTTGCAGTTGCACAATGCTGTCGAGACAATGGCGCACGCACTTTGCCCCAGCGAAAGTTTTGCCATTGCGATACCCTGTACGCAACCAATAGCCGAGAAGGTGGACTAAGTCAGCAGCAAATTATTTGAAATTAAATAAATAAAAAGCACGTTAAGGCTCAGCAAAAGCTACGGTCAGGAAATGTTTTTACGGAAATTGTAAAGTGAAAGTTTTTGAAATTTCCGAATATTTTTTCGAGTAATTTTTCCTAAATAAGAGTTTTTTTTTAAACATTTTAGATAGTCTTTACTTTCGGCGTAACATTTTATTCGAGTCTATATAGAGATGTTGCCCCAGTAGAGGGTAACTGTGAGTCTATCATATAGTTTTTGCGCTCTTAATAAAAACATAGCAAATGTCATGACAGGGGGCTTGGCAGATTTGAATGCCGAGACTTGGCGAGAACTCAAGACTGAAGATTTGCAATGCGAGATTCGAGCTGGCGAGCAGCTTGGCAAAATTCAATTTGGCTGCAGCTTATGTTGAACTCTGTGAAAAAGTACATGCTAAGTAAGCTCAAAAGTAACATGCCGCCCCAGCCCATGCTCAAAAAAACAAACTTTCGATAGACACTTTTGCCGCTACGAGCTACATAAAAGCCAATAAGTTCAATATTTTGCTTTTACAATTTACTGAGGGACGCGGTGGTTGTGGAGAGGGGGGAAGGTGCTTTTTGCAAAAGTTGTTTTGTGTTCGTGCCGAAAAGTTGCAAGTTTCACATTTTGAAAGGCATTTGCCGCGTGTTGCTCGGTTCGTGCCATTGTCTCGATTTAAATCATGGGTATATTTCTATGCCAAAAACCTGGCACGATATGGCCAGGTGCATATGGGCTCTACTAAGGGTTAAAGTTGCGCCCACAACTGAAATGATATCGCATCATTTTGGGCTTAGCCAGGACCTTTGTCTGCTTTCGGGCACTTTTTCCTTTGGCCTTTGTTCGGCTTTTTTTCTATTCTATTATTTAGTTTTGCCCTCAACGCATATTAATTTTGCAAATGTCTTTTGCAACAAAAGGCAATTGCAATAAGCTACCACAAATGCAGTTCAATTCACTTTGCGCTGTGCGAGCTGGGAAAGTGTGCTGCGCACAGTGGTTCGAACAAAAATGTTAGCTAGACGTCAAAGCAGAAGAGGAATAGGTACAGTACATTTGTGCAAATGCATTTAACAGGCAGAAGGAAACAACTTTAAGCCTATTCAGTATATATTCTTGATCAGTGCGATGAGCTGGAGAGATCTATTCATGTGCGTCCCGTCAGTTCGTCCCGGTGAATGCCAAGATTGACTTTCGGAGAATTCAAAGCTAAAGACTCCCAAAGACAGAAAGATCGACATAAGCAGACAAACAGACAGATAGACAGACAGTGAGGCGGACAGGAAGAGAGATAGGCATACCGACGGACAGACAGAATGTAGACAGACGGACAGAGTTATCTTGTAGTGCTTGTTGTTGTAGGTTAGCGAGTTGAAGTCGTGTTTTTCGGATTTAAAGTAGTTTGTTTCGGAGTTGTTGTTTGCCTATGAGTTGTTGTGATTAGTTAGTTACTGATTAGTGGGAGTGCTAGCTGTTGTTTGAGTCTTAGTTGTTGCTTTTGAAGTTGTTGCTTTTGAAGTTGTTGCTGTAAATGTTGTAGGCTTTCAAATCGTAGTCCCTGGATTTGCAGTTGTTGTGGGATTGCAAGTTGATGTTGACCTGGGAGTTGTTCTTGTTGGTCTACCCGTTGTTGCTGTAAATGTTGTAGGCCTAGTAGCCGTAGTTGTTGGGCTTGCAGTTATGGGATTTCTTTCTTGGGCATTTCGGTGGCAGCTTAACAATTTTATTCTGGATCAAACTTGTAAGTTTCCCCATCGCGGCTTTTGTGCTGGTGGCTTTTGTCGGAACATTGCAAGAATCCATTGACTGATAGACAAAATAGGTGTAATTATTAACTTTATTTATAGTTAATTCCAGCTCTTGATTCTCCTTTAGAAGTTCAGGTAGAAAGCATAAGATAAGGATATAAAGGATAAGACGGATAGAAACAGAAGTCCCTACCATTGTTCGTGCCGTCTTTTATGTAGGGAAGACATTAGTTTTCTGATAACTTCAACCCTTATGCTTTTAAACACTACTTGAAAATTAGGTCAGTTAGATACAAGCTTGGAATGTGATTTGTTTTATTGAATATACAGAATAACCATATTCCACATTTTAAATACCTCTTCCCAATATTCCCTAAATTGGAAAACAATATATTTTCTCTTGTATACCATATTTAAGACCTGAAAATTTCATTCAGATCGAACAGTAAACAACAAAGTTCAACAAGATGCATTTCACATATATAGTGTGGGGCCTAGCTAAGAAAAAACATCTTGCGAACCACTGTGCGCCGTCAACTTTTGTGCTGTGCTGCGCGGTTTTTCTATTAAATAACATTTTAGACAATTGCACATACACACACACACGCACAGAGAGAATCGCAGGTGGGCGGGTTGGCATTGCTTGAGGGCGAACGCATTGCGAGAATGTTAAAAAGCAACTGTCTAAACCATGAAAGGCAGGCCAAAAGAATTGGCCAAAGTTAAAATAAGTGCAACACGGCGCATTAAACAGGGCCAAGACGCTTAAAAGTGCACTTTAAGGTATTCACATTGACTATAATCGCAAAATTAAACATTCATTTAAAATATCGCAACAAAGTGCCGTTAAATGAATCGATATAATTTACGGAGCGAACAATAGCGCACGCCTATTGTGCAAAATTTTCATTCTCATGCCTATTAAATAATTCGTATTTAATTAAACGAACCACAAATTTAACAACATTGCTTTATGGTTCCATGAAGGCGTATTTAAAGCAAGCTATAGTGCAAGAGCCTGGGTGTGACCGACTGGAGATGCTCTAGATCCAGCACAAAGTTAGCCTTGCATAAATTCTGGCTTCTTCTTTTGTAGACTCTTCCTTCCTTTCGCTCTAACTGTCTATGAGATACGCTTCGGTCCATGTAGTCCGATCAATGTGCAATTCACAATGTGCTTGACTAGGAGATATTCTGAATTCAGTTTAAAGTTACCCTTGCTTAGATTTCCACTTCTTCTTTTCTGGTTTCTTCTTCCTAGCCGATCTTATTGTATATAATATATTAATTCTTCATTAACTTCGGTCATTAGAATCCGATCTTTATGTAATTTTCAATAGGTTCGACTGGGAGATAGTCTAAGCACAGCATCATGCTACTGTTACTCATATTCTAGCTTTTTTCTATGCAGCGAATGTGCTGAATCCTCCATTTTGCTCTTACCATTTATAAGATATGCATATTGATTAAGTTCGATCTGTATGGTCTGATCTTGATGCAATTGACTTGACTAGGAGATACTCTGAATCCATCAAATAATTTCCATTGAATAGATTTTGAATAGAACTTTTGTAAAATCTTGCTCCCTTTCGCTTTTATTGTCTATGAGATATGCATTCTAAATTATATTCGGATTTCATAGTCCGATCTTTATGCCTGATTTATGATATATGGCTTTAATATGGCATACAAAAGTGTATATACACATTTGCATATTTGTATTTGTAGAAAAAAAAAGGAGTATCAAATAATTTAAATTAATTTAATATGAGTATAAACTATACTAAACCCTATATACTGAGTAAGGTGTATAAAGCTCCTATAACTCTCGAGTCATGCTTAAAAAACCATTCCTTGAAATCGGTTTTTATGGTTACTATGGAAATGGGAGGAGTTTATACAGACGGACTGTCGGAATATTTCCACTTAATGGACTCGGATATGCCCTGCCTCTGCCTCTAACTGTTACATTCACTTAAACAAAACCATCAACCCTTTGGCAGGGTATAACCATTGATGACACCCTCTATTTAATGAAAGCCTGCTTCGTGTTACGACAGCCCTCCAATTTGTAAAGCAGAGTTTTTCTGTTGTTATTTCTTTGTCAAAGCATTAAACCATACCTTGCCTAGGGGCCATCCGATTTATTTTCAGCTGATTTTAATTAAGCAGTCGCACATTTTTATATCAACAACAATTAAAATAACACGCATAAATACACAGAACGACATTAAATTACGATTATAAAAATAAATCGCAGTGTTATTGTTGCTCGCATACCCTTTTAAAATTGAGGTAGAAATGAGAGTAAACAGTATGTAGATTCTGGGAGCAATATGCAGAAACAATTTTGTAAATATCTATGCTAACTTCCCAATACTCTTTCGGTCTTCCTTAAAGATATATTATTTAAGGGGTTTTATTCTTCGGTCTTAGGAAAACAAACAAAATTAAAAAACCGATTTTAAAAGAATCTTAAATATTAATAAGCATTAAAAAAAATTATGAATGAATATTTCGAGTATTTTAAATGTAAATTCAAAAATTTCGAGGAACTTGCGCGTGTTAGGACACAGGGTATCTGTTAGTCTAGCATAGTCAGTTTGCATGCCATGCTACATGCAAAATGCAAACAATGTTAAAATGCATCTCGACAAATTTGCTGGAATTAAAAAAAAAAAAAATAAAACAAAAAAACTGAATAGCGAAGAAAATGTTTGATTTAAATTTAATTTGCATTGTTGTCGCATTTATTCATGTTTATGTTGTTAAATTAAAATCAATTTAATTACCATATTCTCGCAAGCAGCTGCGAGCACACACACACACAAACACAACTTCCACACACACGCATACGCACACGCACACTAGTCAAGCATATTTGCATTGACAATAAAATAAGATTAGGGTCCGCACTTTATAAGCTGTTAATAATCGATGCATAGACATATTAATCAGGCTGCAAATCGGATTTAAAAGAGTCGCATGCATTATCTATATAAGCATATAAATATGTTGGCATTTCAGATTAAATGAAAATCATATAAATGAGCGAGTGTGTGAGATAATCATGCTTGATAAATATTTGAATATAATATATTTAATAGCGTAACAAAATTATGAACTAGACATATAAATATATGTAAATTATAACGTGTGTTTAGTCGGGCAAGGTGTTTGAAAATATAACAAATAAATAAATAAAATGTATATACCCTTGCAGAGCGCAACTTGAAGGATATTAATATGCCACGTATATATACATATATATATATATATATTTGAACAGCATCAATTGACGAGGGGATATAGTCAGAGTCATCTGTCTCTGTACAAGCTATAGAAGGAAACCCTTCCATAGGTTCTTCCTTAACTTGCGGATAGTATATATATAATAATAATAACAATTATAAAGTATATATGTGAGAATTGGATAGATCGAGCAATTATATTAGATAGCTGGTAGATTAAAAATTAAGTTTCTTGTACAAATCATTCGTTGTTTCTCAAGATTTCCTAACCAAAAATCAAGCATCAAAGAGTTCTGACATGCTCCTCCCATATTCCCTATATCTGAACACTATTTTATATAGTCATATATGTATATAGCTGATCAGTATCAAAAGTCGAGTGGATATAAATAGGCTCTTTTGACCTTATCTGTAAAAGCTATACTCACGAACTTTCACTTGGGGGTATTTTAAATTATAATAATAATAATAATAATAATATAGTATATATTTTAAAAAGGCGGATCGAGCGACTATGAATAAAAAATTAAGTTTCCAATAGAAATCATTTGCCTTTTCTCAAGATATCCCAACCAAACTTCACATTAACGTGCTCCGGACATATCAAAAATCCCTTCCCAACAGCGGACCACTATGTCATATAATTCTATATGTATAATCAGTTGAATAAATATGTTTCTATATGGCAAACTTTTTCATATATTAAGATGTCTTGGCCAACTTACCTGCACTCAGCCTTAAACCTTATCAAATCGGACTAATTATACTTTATAGGTGCGTAAGGAAAATTCGCTTGTAGGGAAAAGTTCCCTCCTAAAAGCATTTCGCAGCCACAGGCCTGCAAGGGTATTTCATATTCGGCGCGCCAAAAATAGCCTTATAATTCTTATTATTTCCAAGCTTAGGCAACGCGCAAGTATATACTTTCCATATAGTTAAATGCTTGGTGTAATGACATGCTTTTCTTGTTGTAGTTGTTGTTGTTGTTGTTGCTGTTGTGTTATGTGTTATGTACATGAATGTGGCTGGGTTTATGCGAGGGGTTTTGATCCGGCTACAGCTCATGCAAGTTCGTCTCACTAATTGTGACGAGGGGCGCCAATTTGCTTAAATTTTGGCTTACCGGTAGCGTCGTTGTTGTTGTCGGAGTATTCGTCGTCGTTGTTGTTGTCGAAATTGTTGTTGCTGTTGTTGTTGTTGTTGGCTGGGATTCTATGGCATTCGGCTGACCATTCAGCAATGTTGGCGGCTCTGCAATGTCATATTGTCATATTTTTTCGCATTGGTTTTAAGTAAATTTTACGCAACGCACCATTTGTGGCAGCCACATCCGTTGCCGCAAGGTTAAGCAGCTGCTGCTGCGGCTCCTCCAGCTGTTGCTGCTGCTGCTGCTGTGCTTCCTGTTGCTGCTGCTGCTGCTCTTTGGGCTGCTCTTCGTCTTCCTCCTCCTCCTCTTCGATGCGCGTCGCAATGTCGCCGTTCTTTGTTGCCGCTGTGGGCGTGGCGGGCGCCGAGGGGGTCGGCGTCACATTGCCATTCTTGAGAATGCCCACCAAGGGCGCACCGTTGCCTGGCCTCTTATCGTCCTGCGGCAGCTGCAGCAAGGGTTGGGCGGAGAGGCAAATAAATCTCATTATAGAAGGCAGCTTGAACATGCCGCACTCACCGGCTTGTAGCTGTACGGTGGCAGTGTGTTGCCTGGTTTTATGCCCGCAGCACCTGTGGGCTTTACACCTGGCGATTCGTGCATTTTGGTTGCCTGCTCCTTGGACCAAATGATGTCCTCGTCCGTTTCGCGCTCGATGCGCTTCTTGTACGCCAAATGGCTGCGATATACCTCGAGCAGGCAGCACACCACAATGATGACAAATACGCTGGTAAGCGTAATGAACAGCACCTGGGTGGAGTCCTCCTTTTTGTCCACATCATAAACGAATTTCGATATGTAGGGCACACGTTGCGGTGGCTCCTCAACCCATGGCTCCGGTATCTACGGATCAATGAAGGTGTATTACTCTGAAATTCTGCCCCCCTCTCTCTCCCCTCCTCTCGCTCCTGTCGCAGACTTACCATGCTCACATTGACCATAGGCTCTTGGGTGGGCTGTTCGCTGACATCAAATTTGGCATTGCATTGGGCGCTGCGCAGGCCCTGCGGATTTATGACCGTGATGTTGTCCGCGCCGGACTTGGTGAACAGCATATATTCCTCGAGTGGCTTCATAATGTGCCCATTCACCTGTATATAGATGTCTGGCCCCAGCCAATTACGAATATATTGTTATGCCCTGTACCCATTGAACTGTCTCAAAGGGGTATGCTGGTCTTGTGCTCATTTGGGTAAAAGGCAGCAAGAAGCAGCTCTTAAAGTTTATATATTCGCTCGCTTGAACTTTTAGCATATGCACGTATTTAAGTGCTATATTTATGCCCTGGAAATTTTATATTAAACGGACAACAAATCTCTAAGGCTATCAAGCTAAGATTTCCCATACAAATTGTTGGACCAGAGAAAGTCCAATGGATACTCCCTTTGGAGATAAAAAGATAAAGATCGGACAACAAATCTCAAAGGTTAACAAACAAGAATATCTCTAATAAATTGGTGGGCCAGGGAAAAACAGAGCAGTGCTTGGTTTAGGGTAACTCCAAGTCTGTCACTCCCCACCAGAGCACTTGTTAAAATTTTCATTAGTATTGGTCATTAATTCAAATTGAAATGCAAATGTGTTGTGGCTCGCTGCTCGCCTTGAGCTTCAAATGGGATTGTGGCGGAGTCCAAGGCAGAGTTCAGGTCGCAGTGGGTCAGAGTTCAAGTCCAGGACTGTAGCCATTCGCGCATACTTAATGCACGTTCGAAATTAGCAATAAAATGTTTAATACCCGAACTCTGTGTGTAGACTTTTGATTTGGCAAAGGGGCGTGGCTGTTGTGCGAGGTATTTAAATGGAAGCTTACGGCCTGCTCGTGCCATGCAGATATTATTAAATATCTATAAAAATAATATCATAAATAATAAATAATAATATGCTATCTATTTAACAAATTTGCTTGCTGTGGTGTCACATTGAATTATTTGCGTAGCTGCGAAATATATTTTTCAAGCGAATTTTTTAATTCCATGACGAACAACAAAAAAAAAAACTGATATTTTGTGGAAGAGTCGAAGGTTAAATACCCTTATCTACATGGAACCTATGGATATTTGTGTATTCTAATTAGGCTTTTAGCATTTCATTTTCACAATTAAATGTCATAAATAATTAGAAAGACGTTCGTTTGTATACAAAGTAAATAAAAAAATGAATATATGAGAAGATCAAGATTTTTGCAACTGTCTGTTAGCTGATAAGGAATATATATGACATATATGGCTTACCAACTGCATAAACAAGTAAAAGTATCCTTTGTCCGTCCCTAACAATTATAATTTATTTATTTAATTTTGGCATAAATTAACAGATTGAAAGATATTTTAATGCCAGGCTGAACAGAAATAAAATGTGCATTATTTGAAATTAAATACAACAAATATTTAATATGTTGTTTAATTGTCGGCCTATTATTAAACAAGCTTCACGTCAAAGCCTTTCGATTTAACTAAGAGTTTCTCTGATTTTCCACATATTAAATTGGAATTTTTTTTACTTTAACTTTAAATCAACTTCAATTGATATTGTGAACATTTGGGTAGCTGCCAAAGGGCAAACTTTTTCTATTTGAATTTTTCGGATAGCCCGTGTGCAGCTGAGGTGAGCTTCTGTTTATGGCCATTGGCGAACTAACGCGCTTCGATGGCGCTTTAATGGGGCACGTGCAACACTCATGTGGTGCATGTGGTGCACGTGGTGCTCGTGTGGGCGTGGTTAGCGTTAAACTAACAGCTGCCTGGGCCAGCTAGTTGAGAGAGTTGAGAATTTTAATCAAACTGCCGGCCGCTGCGGTTGCCCGTTGTGAAAGCAGCAACAGCAGCAACAATTTAAATATGAGCCACTGTAAATCTTGAGCGCAAAAACTGACAAAATTTATGGCAACGGCCACGGAAATGACTTTTTATGGCAGCGAATAAATTTAATTTTTGGTCAACAAAGTGCTTCTGTCGCCCCCCACCAAACCCCCCTTATCACCCACCTCCCTTCCTCAACTCAGCTTCTGTTTCTGTTCATAAACTTGCAGCAACACGATGCAGCCGCTGGGCGTGGCACTTGATGAGACCACACAACAACAACAACAGCAACAACATGAATTGCAGTTAAGGCAACAGTTTGAGTCTTCCAAAAAAAAATAAATAAAAATAAAGTACAAGTACTCAAGTCGGGCTTGCACACTTGCAGATACCCTGCACATATTTCCTGCACTTGCTGCTGTTCGTAAGTTACTTTTGTTTTTATAGCCCGATAGTTTTGACATTTTCAGGGTCTACCCCTTTTACTCTTAGAGCTATGCTCAAAAAATGTAGACTAAAAATCGATATATATCAAATTTGTGGAAATAGGTAAGGTTGGCTTTCATATATGATTTTTTATGGTAAAATCTGAGCTATATCTCTCGGATAGCTTACATTCTAGACGGACTTGGCCTGCAGGTATTCATTATCTACCCTCTTTACTTATATCGAATTTGTGGAACAGAGCACAAACTATATTTGAGTCGGAGAAGCTTCCCTCTGCTTCGTACAAGTCCAGCATTGCCCCTCCATTTCATTGGGTACAGGGTATAATTAATGGCAAGGCGAGCTCAAATTTATGACTGCCCACTCTGACTTGGCAGAGCTACCACGCTTTACTTACTTGACAGGCAACCGCTGTAGCTTTTAAAGACCGCAAAACGCGAATCGGTCGTATTAATGCCGCCGATCTGGGCACGATTGGCACCCTCGTCGACGGTGGTGGTCAGAACGCGTGCAGCAAAGTCCGTTAGGGGCACCTGTTCGCGATCGATGTACAGCTGGGCCTCAGTGCCATTGCGCTCGTAGTATACCGAATGGCGGGCGCTGTTGAGAAAATTGCGATCGATGCGTGCGCCGACAGTTTTTCCACGTTCGCGATCCTCCTCGAACTGCAGATACCCGTCCGAGGTGATGGCCAGCAGCAGGTAATAGCTGCGCTCCGCCGCCGTCTGCAGCAGCAGCATGATGCGATTGGCGCGCCGCAAATCAAACGACGAGAAGGCCAGCTGCAGTCGCACATAGTCGACGCTGCCTGAGCTGGGCAGTTCGAATTTGCGCTGCAACGTCGACTCGCCGCTAAAGTCGGCGCCCTTCTCCACCGAACAGAACTCGCCTAGGAAGCTGGTGTGTTCACAATCGCAGGTGGACATCTGCTCGGCGAAATGCTCCTTGCAAATACCGCCGTTCTTGCAGGGCTCCGCATCGCACTTGATCTGGCAATTGGGCAGCACACCCTCCAGAGCTGAAAGGGAATATGCACAATTACATGTTTATCGAATCACCGGGTATTATCTGGCAAATATTTCCTTTAAATGGTATTATAATTGTGTTGGTTATGTGTGTTCCACTTTTTGAACATTTTAAGTAACATTTCACTTGTTCAACATATTCACTTGGAGGCCTGATTTTATCATTAAGGGTGGAACAGCTTTGATATTTATCACACTTTCTGCAAAGGTTCGCTTTGCTTATAAGTCGTTTTATTATACTTCCTGGTCCAGCTTTACCAGGGCAAGCTAAATGCAGTGTTGAAAATAGCTTTAAAAAAGCTATCGTAAGCAATAAGCAATGCATAAATGGGCAATAAAGAGCACTGTCTGGGGTTTACCCTTCCTTAAACAGTTTAAAAATAAATTTAATATTGACTACCTTAGACAAATAAAGCTGGGAGATAGCTGAGTTGAAAGCAGGTGAAAAAAGGGGCAGAGCTCGGTTATTGAGAATATGACTGGAATCATCTGAAATCCTTATGCTTTCGTGTATGGCAATACACTTATTAAATTGTTGTTTGATAGAAGAATTTCTATATTGAAGGTTTTCAGAAATTTTCCACTTGAAAGTCCGTTATTATTTTAAACGATGTTCGAGGATTTCGGACAATATGTTTTGTAAAAGCTGAGCTGAAAGTTGATTGTTAATCATAAAATATATCATAAATAAATTAATAGGTAAATGGGTCAAAAAATAAATAAAATGAATTATTGCAAGGGATAATAAATAAATAAAGAAAATTATTAGAAGGCGCACATAGTCTGAAAACTTCTGCATTCCAGCTCTTACGATTTGGGCTGTGCGTTTGGGAAGACTTATATAGATAGAGCCGTTAGGCAAGGAGTCTTGCTTGGTTTAGTGGCTGCCTTTGCTGTTACTTAATCGTATCAATGTCGGGACACAATTTCCGCGGCGTTCATGTGTGTGCCAGGGAATGTGTGTGTGCGAGTGCGGGTATGGGCGCATAAATCATACGCCGTGTAGCCTGGGGCGTTGGCCTATCGCATCGGCATTAATCTTGGTCCTGGCCTTAGCTTAACAGGCGCTGCACTCTGCGGAAATTGCCTGCATATTAAGTTGCACTGCCAGCCACATAGCCAAAAGGATGCGGGAAATGTGGGGAGCAAGTGGCAGCCCAAAATGGCATTAGGCTCTCTCTTCGTGTGTGTGTGTGTGTGTGTGTGTTGCCGAGGCCCGCAAATTGCACTCAGTGAAAATTGATTTATACTCGTACTTACTGGGCGCTATATTCCTTTCATTGATTTCCGCCAAGTCGATCAACTGGGCGCCAATTTTGAGGCCGCGCACACAGCCAATGTAGCCCTCCAGTTGGGGCGCATCCACATTTGGGCGCAGCAAATTTGCCGGATCGTAGCCGCCGACATGGAATTGAAAGTACTCGGTGGGTGGTGCGGGCGGTCGATGGGGCGACAGGACCTCTGCGAAATAAACAAAAATCAAATGAGCCAGCCGGCCAAAATGTACGTTACGGCCACGTTAAGCACATCCTCCCTGCCCCTCCTCCCTTCCTTTCTAAGAGCCGTCCATTGCGAGACTCTGGGTATCTATATTTTGTGTGCTTGTGCGGAAATGAGCCTTCATTGCTGTGGCATTTGGCTTTAGTGGGGCCCGCATTTGGCATTTTGAGGGCTCAAGTTTGTCTAATTGATATGTTTGTTGCACTCTACTCACTCTCACCCCTCCCCCCTCTTCGCCTGCGGTTCGGTATGCTATCTGTCTATAATTTCGGTTAACGCATTTAATTACATAAGTGCTCATGTGTTATTTTGTGCCAACTATTGACGCGTTGCCAGGCTCCAGCCCAGGCATTTTGCACAAGTGGCCTAATTATGCCCGGAATCCATTGGAAATGTGTTCACAAGGTATATCTGTTTGGTAAGGTAGTTTGTAACAGGCCAAGGGAAGTTTTTCCGATTCGTCTGTATGAACTAATTAATTTATTCATTTTTTCTTGTTCAATAATATAGATAAGTATCGATAGAAAGTATCGCCAAACACATTCACACATTTTCATACAATGCCTGTCCAGGGTATATCCCAGTCACGCCCTCTCAACTAGTTTCCCCTAACTAATTATGATTGATTTTGTATTGCCCAGTTGACGAGAATCAACCTCTGGCTTCCAATTGCTGCCAATTTCTGGCAATTGGTGCACTGAGCTACCAGGGCTACCAGTTCTCTGATTGATTTACCAATTGCAAATTTTGGTAAATTGCAAAATTTCGCAAAAGCCAAGCTGAATGCAGTCCGGTATTTGGCCCAAGTGCAAAATGCCAGCCTGTGCTTATTAATTAAGGTAGCGCTTAAAGTGTAGTTAAACACAAAATTGCAACTGTTTACGTTTATCGGCTTAAGGGCTTGTTGTTGTTTAAATAATTTAATTTGGTTTCATTTATAATTGAAGCTTACTTCGATTTGCCTAAAGCTAGTTTGAGACTTGTTGATTGGTTTGTTATTATTATTATTACTTAGTTTAACAATTCACACTACATAAATCGCTTTTCCCTTTGGAAGCGGAGAGTCGAAGAGACGTTTAAGTTGTCTGACAATAAATAATGTTGGACTTAAAGCTTGATATTTTATAAATTAATTATATAGGTTTGTCATGTAATGTCCAAAACTCTGCATAAATTCTTATTTTTGCTGGAAGCTTTAGCTGGAACGCATCATGATATTCTATAGATTAGATAAGATTTTGTTTGTTTAAAAAAGATTTACCAAACGTTCGTCTAAGAGGCGTACTAATCGCTAATTTGAAGGTACGAACCCTCCTTAAGAAAATTATATGTTTCTAAATAAAATATAGTTATATATAAATAGCTTCTTAAAAGCTTTTGATCCATCGTCTCCATGCATAAAATTATACAAACAATTTTTGTATCACATACATTCTCAATAATATTAATATTTCGTCCTGCACAACGCCGGGCAATTTCCTCAAGTATATAATAAATAATCAAAGCCACGTTGTTCACTTGATAAATTCCAACTAAAATTCCACGCTTATTCAGCACTTAATTCTACTATTCCTATTTCCTCTTATGCATTTTGATATATCTATATCTCGTTTGTCTATAAATGTGAGTTTAAAAATGATTTAAATGCACTTGAAATGCAATGTTTATTAAAAGCTAATCCAATGGACGGTCATGTGCGCGTTTTATGGCCGGTGTGTTTGCCGCTTCAACAATTTATTTTCAGTTTTATTAACATATAACTACGAAAAATTTCAAACGAATATAAAGCAGCTGCATGTTTTTTATGCCATACAGAGAAAAGTTTTGCCATTTCAATTGCTTTCATACAGTTACTTTTTTTTCTCTATTTCTTCACTTTAACTGAGTTTAACAGGCACACACACAGGGACAAAACAACAACAACAAAAAAGGCAACATTTCAAGTGCAAATAATTTTTGGCGATCGGAGTGCACGGATTTTTACAGTGCGTGTGTGTTCGTGTTTGTGTGTGTGTGTGTGCGCAAATTTTTGGCATATTTGCAACTTAACTTGCTAAACTATTTACGAAATTTTCATGCTGCGCTCGGCGGCGCATAAAAAAACTGACAGTGAGAGCAGAAACCGGAGTGAGCGCGGGAGCAGGTAATGCTGCCAGGCAACCGCTGCTAAACAGTTGTGCATATATTTTGGAGGACGAAAGGAGGACAGGAGCTCAGGCTTTGTTGGTTCAATAAAAAACAACAACAAGTAAGAGTGCGGCAGTCGGGTGTGCACGACTAGAAGATACTTAGAAATTAGCTTCCCTTACGATAATTCTAGCTTGCTGCTGTCTGTCTGGCCTGTGATCGATTATTATCGATATCATAGAAATGCCAGAGATATTGGCTCCTTTTGCGTATGGTTATGGTATTGGTGGAATAAAAGGTCATAATTTTAAGTGTATAGCTTATAAAAGTTTTCGATATAAAGACAAACGGGCAGACAAACAGACGGACCTACATCAACCTGATTAAGAATAGAATAGTGTGGTAGATGCTTTCTTCAGCCTATTGCAAACATTTCGACAAAACAAATTTACCCCTTTCCCATTTGCAAAAGCTGCAGGGTGTTTAAACACGAAAACAATATCAAACAAGTGAGGAAAGGGGTCTCTCGAAGCTAGGCAACGTAGCCAGCCGCCTGTCAATGCAGGGCCATGTCAGGATTTACAGCGGCGGCGGCGGCGGAGATGCGGCACTTTTGTATTATGGCTGCGCCGGGCCCGTGGGCGACTGGACGCAGCGCATCGCCAGTTTGCAGCCGACAATCGACCAGAGCGTGGCCACCATGTACGGACGGCTGCCGGGCACAGGCAACGGTGCGGTCAGCGGCGGCGTTGGGGCGGGTGCTCTTGGTGACAGGGTGAAAATTGGCTTCTGCACGGATTTGGACAAATCGGTGCTGGTGAACAACTTTGAGAAACGCGGCTGGCATCAGGTGAATGGCGACGATGATTGGCATTTCTATTGGGCTGGGGTGCAGACGTGCCGCAACATTTTCAGCGTGGACAGCGGCTATCGGATGCACGACACCCAGATGATCAATCACTTTCCCAATCACTATGAGCTCTCGCGCAAGGACCTGCTGGTGAAGAACATCAAGCGTTATCGCAAGGATCTCGAGCGTGACGGCAATCCGCTTGCGGAGAAAACTGAATCGAATAACTCGAGCGGCACACGTTATCTCTATCTGGACTTTGTGCCAACTACCTTTGTGCTGCCCGCCGACTATAATATGTTTGTGGAGGAATATCGCAAATTTCCGCTAAGCACTTGGATCATGAAGCCGTGCGGTAAGTCTCAGGGCGCTGGCATTTTCCTGATCAATAAGCTGAGCAAGCTGAAGAAGTGGTCACGCGAGGCGAAGGGTCCCTTTCATCCGCAGATAGCCAAGGAATCGTATGTTATCTCGCGATATATTGATAATCCGCTTTTAATTGGCGGCAAAAAGTTCGATTTGCGTCTTTACGTGCTCGTCACCTCGTTCCGGCCGCTCAAGGCGTATCTGTTCAAGCAGGGCTTTTGTCGCTTCTGCACCGTCAAGTATGACACAAGCGTCACGGAGCTGGACAACATGTACGTCCATCTAACCAATGTCAGTGTGCAGAAACATGGCGGCGAATATAATACCCTGCATGGCGGCAAATGGTCCGTACAGAATCTGGCGCTCTACTTGGAGGGCACGCGTGGCAAGGAGGTTACCGATCGCCTGTTTGGCGCCATCTCCTGGCTAATTGTCCACTCGCTGCGCGCCGTGGCGCCCGTCATGGCCAGTGATAGGCATTGCTTCGAGTGCTATGGCTACGATATTATCATTGACAATGCTCTGAAACCCTGGCTGGTGGAGGTGAATGCCTCGCCCTCGCTAACCTCGACCACGGTCAACGATCGCATACTCAAGTACAAGCTGATCGATAATATACTCTCGGTGGTACTGCCACCGGATGGTATACCGGATGTGCGCTGGTGCAAGATACCCAGCGCGGATGCTTTGGGAAATTTCGAGCTGCTCATCGACGAGGAGCTGGCTGCACACGATGAGGCGCAAAACAGCAACAACAACAACAACAACAGCTCCTCGCATACCAAATCCTCGAAGCTCAGCAGCCGCTGGAAGTGACGAAAGTAGCCCCGAGCTGAGCCGACGCGCTCAGCTCACAAGTGAGAGCGGTGCAATAGCTTATATTTTAAATCGTATAGCCGTGGCAATGTGTTCCGAATAAAAGTCTACGTGGAGAAAACTTAATTTTCTAATCCAACTAAGGTGTTCTCGAAGGTATTTTGTGGCCGACCGTGAGGTAGGAGGAATTCAAGATGGAAGATGAATTGTAGTGTCTATCTATTTCTATACAAACTGGACCAATGCGTTTAAAGCTAACATCACGAAACTTTATAAAGGTTTGTCTGTCGTGAAGTCTGTCGTGTCAGTGTAAGCAGCTGCCTATCTGTGAGATACATTTGGCCTGTCGGTCAGGCATGACTTACCCTTCTCCGGATTACTCCAGGGCTTGTTGGCATACTCATCCAGCAGGAGAGTGCCGCGATCGATGCTCACGCTGCGCTGATTGACATGCATGCGAGTCTCCTGTTCGCCGCGCACAATGGCCACCTGAATGCTCTTCAGATTGGCCATCAGGGTCTCGTCCAGCAGTGTCAGATTCACGATCTCATCGCCGTAGTTGTAGAGGAAGACAATCTCGCGCGATTGACTGATGTACAGATGCACAAAGTTGTTGTAGTGATCGTTGGCATAGAGCACCAGGGAGTTTGTGTCGTAGGTGCGCAAATTGATTAACAGATCCTGGCTGAGTATGCCCTTGAGCATCTCCCGCTCGCCCTCGATGCCGTGCAGCAGTATGGCGGCGGTGGCTCCCACGCTTAAATAGTTGCGCATAAGAAATGCTTCGCGGTTGATGAACGTCAGCGCCTTCTCGTTGATGTCTGCAGGCAAATGGATTAGCTTTGAGGAGCTGGATTGGACCCAGCCGTCTACTCACTTGTCTCACAGAACTCGCCAATGTGGGCCCAGGGATTGTTGCAGACGCACTTGAAGCTGCTCCAGAGCTCCTTGCACTGGGCGCCGTTGCGGCATGGCGAGGGCACACAGGAGGGTTTACAGTCCTTGATTATCTCCGATAGATGCACAGACATGTAGCTGTAGATGTCGAGTATTTCGCCATTCACAACCAGACCGCGAAAGCAGCCAATGAGGCCAGCCTTAACAGACAACTTCTTCAGCAGGTCACTGCAAATGCACAGAATATTGCTCGAGGATTATGCCATATTACGGCAGCTTCTCATAACTATTCAATAACTTTTCTCTGCTGCGAGGTACAGCGTGCAGTGCAAACAATAATATCAACGTGAGACTCGAACTTGCCCTCGCTTTACTTTGCGCTTACTTTATGCAAATAAAGTGTAGCCCCAACCTAACGCCGTGTTGACGTGGTCGCGACGCCTTTGGGCTTTCAAGTTGCTCGCCTTGGCAAATCGAAGCAGACGGACTGGACGCAGGGACCAATCGTCCAATATAATGGCAAAAGTTGCTTCAACTCATCTGTCTGCTCGTTTATTCGTCCACTTTTGCCATTTCTTTTTTTTTCGTAGCCTGGCGCCCTTTTTTTTCTTAACTCCTTAGCATACTCTTACTTGGAGCGGGCTTGTATAACTAAGTCATTGAATTATGCAGAAACTTAAAATATTGTTTCTAGAAATATTGAAAGAACTCATCCAGCATCGCCTGGGCTAAATTTTGGGTAAGAAACTTGTTATTGTTCTCGTTGCACATATTAATTAAGCTTTAAGAAGAAATAGTGCATCCTCTAGAGGTTGATTAGGTGGTATCTCTTGATCTTGATATTTCTTCACTTTCCCTTCTTATTATCTTAAGTTAAGGAAAATTTATGATGAGTTTGAGTCAGCGTCTTCCCGCTTGATGGTCCGACGCTCAGTCATCAGGCTTCAGTTCTAACTCTTTTATGCATTATATTTTTGTATGGATAAGAAAGTGAATGGATAGAAATAGTTTGAACCGTCGACTTCTTGCTTGATGGTTCAACTTTCAAACAACAGGCTTCTTCAGGTGCAATTCTTTTATGTATTATTTTTTTGTATAAATTGAAATATGTATTTCTGTGCAACTCTTTATTTCGCATGCAGAGTATTAAAACTTCCTCTTTGTCCTCTTGACACTTTCGTCCTGGCGTCTAGTAAACTTATACTCTTTCACTCTTTTTTTTTATTCCAGCAATTTGCAAGTTTCGTTCGCTTTCAACTTTTTGCGCACTGAATCCGTACCCTTCATTTCCCTACCCCCAGCCCCCACACAACCGCTAACCCCTCGCTTTGTAGCCAACAATGAATTGGCCAATAAAATCTCAAGTGTAAGCTTTTGAAAATTAAAGTGGCGGAAATGTCTTGTTTATACGCGTGCAGCGGCAAACTCCCCCGCCAGAAGCAGAAGCAGCAGCAGCGGCAACAACAAAAGTTGCTCAAAAATGTCTTTCTAAATTATGTAAATTTCATTACAAGTCGCCGCAGTCGCTTTCGCTGAGTGTTGTCTGCGAGAAAAAGCTCTAAGTAAAATTAAAATTCTTGTTTTAAATAAAAGAAATTCTCAACTTTTAACGCGTATTGGGGTTTTTCAAGTTTTTTGTTTTGTTGATCCCTCGTTTCCGTGTGCCCAAAAGTGGGTATATTGCATTTTATATGGGCAAGAGAAAGCCTCACCGTATAGAGTATTTATTCTTGATCAGAGTCGATCTAGATATGTTCAGTTTTAAGCAAAGATTTTTTTTTTCGATAAATATGCCCTGAAATTAATAAATATTGATTGCCGCCCTTGATTTTCAATATACGCACATATGTCACAATGTCATGACAATCAGATAATCGGATATGCCTGCTTACAAGTTGCAGATCGCCAGTTCAAATTCAACAGAAATTATTAAAGGGATAAGGATAAGAAGTGTAAAAAAAATAAAGATAAATGGCAAAATATATGAGATTATTTCTTAGGAAGGGTTTGAGCAAAAGAGTTTAGGGATCAAATGCCCTTTAGAGATGTTAGCTACAATAGTTTTTTGTATTCGAAATTATGCATATAAGCCGAGGCTCGCCGGTAAAATACTTTTTAACGTATAGTCACATATAAATGCACATATTTTAGAGCTCTGTGCAGGGTATTCGGCTAGTCGTGCAGTCTCACTTGGCTTGTATTCTTTTGTAATTTCTTTTCACTTTGTCGTCGTTTTGCCTGTAATTGTTTGTTAAGTTGTGTAATTGTTCTTTAAGCGCTAAACTTATTGAATAATGCCAAGCGAATTGGCCGGCAGGCAGGCAATAAACGCGTCCTTGCCCCGGACACGGTCCCCAATCCCGGTCGCGGTGTCCTTTACCCAATTGCAAGCTGTAGCAGCTATTAAGTCATTAGTTTTTGCAACATGTGTGGCATTTTGTGTGCATGCACGTGGCACATGTTAATTTCTCTGCATTTTTATATATATATGTATATTTTTACATGTGTTTTTTTTTTGCTTTTGAGCGTCACCTACGACAACGTCAGGCAGCAGAGACAGCGTTGCGCATACGCCGCGTGCAACGCGCGGGAGGTTGCACGAAATGAAATTTAGCGTTTTGCCTTGCAAATGATGTGCCGTGTGACTGGCTGACACTTGGCTAAAAGGATTTGCACGCTGCTGGGCTGGCTGGGCCAAAATAAAATAAAAACTTGCGCAAAATTAACGGCAATAAAATGAAAGAAATTTGACAGCCTATAGAGTGCAGAGCGGGGTGGGGCGGGGCGGTCGGAAAGCAGCAGGATGCAGCCGGCTGGAAATCCTATTAACGTTGCAAACGCGCAAAGTGCGAAGCAATTAAGAATTTATTTAACACCGTCACAAGCAATTAAGCACTTTTCATTCATTCACGGCCGCTGCGACGACACGCGCAACACACACGACAAACAGGACATGGAGGACACGGAGGACACACAGGACACAGGACACATGGGACGGTGACACATTTTTGGCCGTTGGCAATCGCCGTTGCTGTCCCTGTTTCCTGCTGTTGGCCGAATAATTCGCATATTTGGCATGCCAGTTGTCTGTGTTTTTTGGGGCGCCCATGGCATCTGCTGCATCCGCCGGGTAATCGATGGCCATGCAAATGATCAACAGGACACGACCACGGACACGGAGACCGCGCGCTTGCTGGTACTGCAGCTGCTGTTTCTAAACAACATGACACGGCCAGAACAAGGCCCAGACGCGCCTCTGACAAAAAAGCCGATTACAACCATCATTAGCGGGACAGCAACTCTCCCCAACTCGTTATATTCAGCTGACATTTTAAAACCACCCAAAGCTAGGCATTTGCACAATTGGAACCAATCGGACAGCAATCAAGAGGGCTCCACTAGGTGATACCCTGCGCCTAGCGAGTGTTGCCTTAGGCCTTAAACTGTACTTCACTAGGTATCACCAATTGTTCCACGAGGCTATCTTTACTCACTTGTATATATCACACTTGTGTATTACTATAATATACCCTGTGCTCAGCAAGTTTCCCATTACAAGTAATTGTTAGCTCAGCAATTGTCCCACTAGGTTATACCCTGTACTCAACGCCGAGTTGGCTTATCCTAAATAGACATAGTTCAAAAGTTACCACCTTCGTTACTTGGCCAAATCTCATCCGATTTTCATGACGTTTGTCTTTTTCTTCATGGATTTCCCTCTATATTAATCTGGCATTTAATTCTGAACACCCAATTTTTAGTCGAAATTCATGTCAACATCTTAGCCGAAGATTCGTGAAGAGACATGGGTCAAAATTTCCCACCTCCATAACTCGCCTCAATCTCATCCGATTTTCATGAGCTTTGTCTTTTTCTTCATGGATTTCCCTCTAGATTAATCTGGCATTCAAATCTGAACACCGAATTTTTTGTCGAAATTCATGTCCAAATCTTACCCCAAGATTCGGATATAGGTATGGGTAAAAATTTCCCACCCCCATAACACGGTCAAATCTCATCCGATTTTCATGAGGTTTGTTTTTTTCTTCATGGATTTCCCTCTTTTTTAATCTGGCATTCAAATCTGAACAACGATTTTTTTGTCGAAATTCATGTCCAAATGTTACCCCAAGATTCGTATATAGACTTGCGTCAAAAGTTCCCACCCTCGTAACTCGGCCATACCTCATCCAATTTTGACGATGTTGGTATTTTTGTTCATCGTTTTCCCTGTACATTAATCTGGCATTCAACCCTTAATACCGATTTTTTAGTCGAAATTCATGTCAACATCTTAGCCCAAGATTCGTGAAGAGACATGGGTCAAAATTTCCCACCTCCATAACTCGCCTAAATCTCATCCGATTTTCATGAGCTTTGTCTTTTTCTTCATGGATTTCCCTCTAGATTAATCTGGCATTCAAATCTGAACACCGAATTTTTTGTCGAAATTCATGTCCAAATCTTACCCCAAGATTCGTATATAGGTATGGGTAAAAATTTCCCACCCCCATAACACGGTCAAATCTAATCCGATTTTCATGAGGTTTGTCTTTTTCTTCATGGATTTCCCTCTATATTAATCTGGCGTTCATATCTGAACAACGATTTTTTTGTCGAAATTCATGTCGAAATGTTACCCCAAGATTCGTATATAGACTTGCGTCAAAAGTTCCCACCCTCGTATCTCGGCCATATCTCATCCATTTTTCACGATGTTGGTCTTTTTGTTCATGGTTTTCCCTGTAGATTAATCTGGCATTCAAACCTTATTACCGATTTTTTAGTCGAAATTCATGTCAACATCTTAGCCCAAGATTCGTGAAGAGACATGGGTCAAAATTTCCTACCCCCATAACTCGAGCAAATCTCATCCGATTTTCGTGAGGTTTGTTTTTTTCTTCATGGATTTTCCTCTTTATTAATCTGGCATTCAAATCTGAACAACGATTTTTTTGTCGAAATTCATGTCCAAATGTTACCCCAAGATTCGTATATAGACTTGCGTCAAAAGTTCCCAACCTCGTATCTCGGCCATATCTCATCCATTTATCACGATGTTGGTCTTTTTGTTCATGGTTTTCCCTGTAGATTAATCTGGCATTCAAACCTTAATACCGATTTTTTAGTCGAAATTCATGTCAACATCTTAGCCCAAGATTCGTGAAGAGACATGGGTCAAAATTTCCCACCTCCATAACTCGCCTAAATCTCATCCGATTTTCATG